AAAGAGTTTGGGCTGGAGATAGATAGTGACAATAGGCAGGCAGCATAGGTGGTTGACTTCAGTTCATGGGACTAGATGAGGAATCACCCAGTATTTTTTAATGCCTAGTCTTTTTTTGAGCCCTAATGCCTAAAGTATTCATCTAATGAATTTAATTAACATCTATGCTACCTTTTTCCCCGAAAATAAGACACCCTCCGAAAATAAGACCTACTTACAGGTTTCCTTCTGAGTGAAATATAAGGCATCCCTGAAAATAAGGCCCCCTCCCCCCCAGGCCCTGTCTCAGAATGCTATTGCTAAACATGAGAGATTTGGTCCACTGATTCTGAAAGAAATGGAGTCACAAGAAATTCACCAGGAAATTCAGGAATTGGATTGTTATGATGATGTTCCAGAAGATGATAACATGATTGTCATTGAATAAATGAGTAAATTCTTGATACTGTAGGATTCACAGTTTGTCTGGTTTGTGTTGACAACTACCATACTACCATGCCAGATACAGGCAATAAATTTCCTTTATTTTTATTTAACAATAAATGTGTACCATATTCTTCTTCATGGAAAATAAGACATCCCCTGAAAATAAGACCTAGCGCATCTTTGGGAGCAAAAATTAATATAAGACACTGTCTTATTTTCAGGGAAACAGGGTATTAGAATTGAGGAACCTTGATGAGAGTATTGCTGGGTAAGAAGGCCTATAGCTAAATTCTGGGATGATCTAACATGGTGAAGATTGAATAGTAATGAGGTCAAAGAGCAAATCTTTAAGGTAGGAAGAATCCAAGAGAAGAAAATATTTCAAGAAGGAGGAATGCCCTTACTGGTTTGGCTCAGTGGATAGAGAGTCAGCCTGTGGACAAGGGCATAGACCTTGGTTGCAGGCACATCCCCAGTAGGAGGTGTGCAGGAGGTGGCTGATCAATGTTTCTGACACTCTGTCCCGCTCCCTTCCTCTCTGTAAAAAAATCAATTAAAAAAAACAGTATAGCCGAAACCGGTTTGGCTCAGTGGTAGAGCATTGGTCTGCGGACTGAAAAGTCCCAGGTTCGATTCCGGTCAAGGGCATGTACATTGGTTGCGGGCACATCCCCGATAGGGGGTGTGCAAGAGTCAGCTGATCGATGATTCTCTCTCATCGATGTTTCTGGCTCTCTATCCCTCTCTCCTCCTCTCTGTAAAAAATCAATAAAATACATAAAAATAAAAAAAATAGAAACTATATATATATATATATATATATATATTTATTTTTTTTTTCTTTTTTAAATGAAAAGGTCAAATGTGTCTAATAATTTAGAAATCAAAAGTAAGATTTAAAACGACATGACCTTTGATTTTGGCAACTTGGGGATCATCATTGACCCTGATGAGTAGTCTCCATGGAACGGTGGGGCCAGAGTTAGATTTGAGTGGATTGAGGAATGTTTGGGAGATGAGGAAGTGAATATAGTACATGTGGACATATATTGGTAATTATCCTTGACATCCCCCCTTTTCCTGGTATAGCTATTTTCATCAGTGGGTTAAAAACATGAAATTGATTACAATATTCTGAGCTTCACAGCTGGTGGTAGGCATTGTTTTAAAAAGAAATCCACAGGAGAATAATTAAAAATATATAGTGTTTGCTTTAAAAATAAGTAATCACGCCCAGCATGATTAGTAACTTGCCTGGGGTCACATAGTCAATAACCTTGGCATGTAGTTTCAGTACCCATGATAGATGATCCTGCCCATCCTCTGGCCTATTCTATTCCTTAAATTTTCATCCAGTGATCTTTTCTTCTACTCTACTTCGATCCCATTGATTAGCAACTAACACCATTATTGTTAGCTGTAACAATTTCCTCATCCCCACTATCTGGTTTTGGTATCTTACTTTACCTTCTCTCAGATTCCAGTTCTAGTGAGATCTATAATCCATCTTTCCATATTTCTTTTCACTCCTTCCAGCGTGTTACTGCTTCCACCCATGCCCCGCTACAAATAGGGCTGGTGATTAAAATCACCTACATGAAGGGTCAGCATAGCATCTCTCTTGAGCCAGGCTACCAGAGTTTTGGTCCTGTTGTAGCATTTGCTATGTGACTTTGGGCAGGTTACTCAATTATGTGCCTGTTTTCATATCTAAAATGAGAGCACTGCCACTGGAATACTAATTTCATAGGGTTGTTTTGAAGGTTGTATGAGTTTGAGATAATATACAGAAAGAGCTTAGAACTGTGACAATACTTGGCAATATGGTCCCACTCCATTGTTCTTGCTTATAAAACTCCAGATGTGATTAAATTCAGCCCTATGTCTGTGCTTGCATCTGTGCAACTGGAAGATAAACACATTGACTTGTCTCACTTAAATTCATGAATATTGGCCTTTGTAACTTGCTCCCTGAGCCCATGCAGCTCAGCTGGGTCATTTCTACCTCTGTGACTTTCTAAATAAACTTTCTCTTATAGCCCAGTCTTGATTCTAAATTCTTTCTTAGTCAAAACTCAAGTACCAATGTTGTTGAACAGATGTCTGGTTTGACTCCACCGCTCTAACACCTGGTGCCATTTTCACAGCCAAAAGCTATCTCTGGATAGTGGAAATTGGGATAATTTTGTTTTCTTCTTTTTACTTTTCTATGCTCTCCGGATTTTCTTCATTAAAGATACTACTTCTCAACCTAGGGGGGAAAATGATAAAAATAAATTCATAAACATCAGCCTTAACTAGGCCCTATGTATTGCCTGTTAGGCATATGTTTCCTTATTACATTCACTTCCACTGCCCTAGGCAGATTTCATGTTTCTTATCCTTATTTTCAGCTGATAACCCTAGAAATTCTTGCACGCCGGTGGGGGAGGGGGGTGTCCCTCAGCCCAGCTTGCACCCTCTCCAATCCGAGACCCCTCGAGGGATGGTCTAAACAAGCAGTTGGACATCCCTCTCACAATCCAGGACTGCTGGCTCCCAACTGCTAGTCTGCCTACCTTCTTGATTGCCCCTAACCGCTTCTGCCTGCCAACCTGATCACCCTAACCATTCCCATGCCAGCCTGATTGATGTCTAACTGCTCCCCTGCCAGCCTGTTTGGCCCTAACTTCCCTCCTCTGCCGTCCTGGTCGCCCCTAACTGCCCTCCCCTGCAGGGTTGATCACCTCCAACTGCCCTCCCTTGCAGGCCTGGTCCCTCCCAACTGCCTTACCCTGCTGGCCATCTTGTGGTGGCCATCTTGTGTCTACATGGGGGCAGGGTCTTTGACCACATAGGGGCAGCTATCTTGATCTTGTCTGTTGGAGTGATGGTCAGTCTGCATATTACTCTTATTAGATAGGATAGAGGCCTGGTGCATGGGTGGGCCCAGCTGGTTTGCCCTGAAGGCTGTCCCAGATCAGGGTGGGGTTCCCTGAGGGGCCTGTGGTTGCTTGCAGGCCAGCCACGCCCCCTGGCAACCAAGAGGAGGTCCTGGTATCTGGAATTTATTTACCTTCTACAATTGAAACTTTGTAGCCTGGAGCGTAGCCAAGCCTCCTGCTTGCTCTGTGGCTGCCGCCATTTCTGTTTGGATATGTTTACCTTCTATAATTGAAACTATATCCTTGAGTGTAGACTTGGGCCCGCCAGTGTGTGTGGAAAGCTTGGCTTCCTCTGTTGCCAGGGAAACCCAAGCCTACCTTCTGGTAGCCATCTTGGTTGGGTTTATTTTCATACTCTAATTGTAGCAGAGTGATGGTTAATTTGCATATTACTCTTTTATTAGGTAGGATTGAGAATATAGAAAAATTGAGACATCTTTTACAAGGGCCTACCAGAGCTACCCATCTGCTAGTCTCCTTTTTTTTGTGGACTAGTGGTCTGGTGCACAAATTCATGCATGTTGAAAGGAAATTAATTAGAAGAAATACCTTAATATTACTGTTTGCCCTTTCTCTATAATGGAGTGTCAGTCAAGTTCACGATCGATGATGACAGATGGAAACACATGCATGTGATTGGTGCTGGTGAGAGCTTTATATGTATCACACATGTGTGAGTCAACTTAGCCTTTCATAGATAAAGAATAAACTTGCTTAATTAGACCCGCTTTTTGATGTAGCTAAACTTTTTCCAGCCCAGTGAAGCACCCAACTTCTCTTTCAGGTACACAGGAGTCAGCAACACAGGAGTAAATATCAACACGAAGCAGATTTTTATAGATTACACAAGAAGAACAAAGGGTAAAATATTTAACTGCAGCAGTGTTTGACTCTATTCTGCATAGTGAAAAAAACCTGAAGTTGTTTTCAAGGTCCACCATTTCTTTTCAGTTGGGTCAAGTTTCTAATCTTTCTAAATCTCTATTTTCCAGCTAATGAAAAGAAAATGGGATTCCATTGAATTTCCTATCTACCTATTCCAGGACTTCTGTAAGGATCAAATGAGATGAGACACGGGAAAACGCTTCACAGATATTTGGTTAAAGTGTAAAATGTTTCCACCTGCATTTCTGTGGAGGCTAGTTGCTAGGGAGAAGAAGCTGGGCATTGCTACGTGATATGACGTCATTACCTGGAGCCCACAACACCCATTTTCAGGCTGCGCTATGGGCCACATTTTGTGCCATTGGGTCTTGGCAGCGTTGGCTGCAGTTTGGTGGGGTGTTGCTCCAGAGTGGTGGCGGGACCTGTGTCCCACTTGGGGGAAGCCGAGTGTTGGTTTGTTGGTGCCAGATCCATCGTGCTGGCCTGTGCGTGTCATGGCAGCACCTGCATTGAGTGTCTGTCCCTTGGTGATCAGTGTGTGTCATAGCGACCAGTCAGATGATAGGAAGGACACCTAGCATATTAGTTTTTTATATATATTGACTAGAGGCTGAGTGCACAAATTTGTGCACCAATGGAGTTCCTTAGCCTGGCTTACGGGATCGGGTCGAAACCAGCTCTCCGACATCCCCTGAAGAATCCCAGCTTATGAGAGGGCACAAACCAGGCTGGTTTCCAAAATAAAAATCTTTATTTTTCCTACAGGTGAAAGCACTGAAAGAGAAGATTGAATCTGAAAAGGGAAAGGATGCCTTTCCTGTAGCTGGTCAGAAGTTAATTTATGCAGGTATGGATTGAACATTGAAATTAATGTGCCATTTTCTTTCTCCTGTGATATTCTTTTAGTTTTAGAAAAGAAAATGCACTACTAGCCTTATAGTAACCAAGAAAATGTTCATTAAAAGTAGACTTGATATTTAACTTTTGTGGAGAAAATGCTTTTCCTTGTTCTTTAAAATTAGCAACACATCATCATTATAGATGTTGGATGCCCATGGATTCTTAATCTCTTCCTAGATAGGGATTTCGTAATATTTTCTTAACTTAGATAATTTAAAGAAAACACCCCAAAATTAGGAATCAGCAGCTTAAAGAGGCAGGTTTTTGGTGGCAGATATAAAACTACTAATATAATTTCTGGTTCCTAGTCTTGGACTGTATTCTCAGTTCCATAGAGTGGAGAGACTATTCTTTTTTGTTTTAATATCTTTAGCTTTTATTTAGTAACTTTCTTAAAATAGAAAATAAGTTCAAGGAAAAGGAAACCTGCAGGAATCCCTATCTCACATTTGACCTTTAGCATTACTCATCATGTTTTTTATTGTTTAAAATATTATATGTCTCCTTTTTCCCTGATTGATTCACGCCCTCAACTGCCCACTGAAGTCTTATGTACTTCTTTGTGTCTTACCCAGCAGCTCTATATCATCTTGTCATTACTATATACTAAATCATTTTCTGAAGTACTTTTAAAATATATACGTGTGTGTGTGTGTGTGTGTGTGTGTGTGTGTGTGTGTGTGTATAGTTTTATTGATTTCATAGAGGAAGGGAGAGGGATAGAAACATCAATGATGAGAGAGAATCATTGATTGGCTACCTCCTACACGTCCCCCACTGCAGATCCAACCTGCAACCCAGGCGTGTGCCCTTGACTGGAATCAAACCTGGAACCCTTCTATTCGCAGGCCAACACTCTGTCCACTGAGCCAAACGAGCTAAAGCAGAAGTACTTTTTATTGAGTATCATTTTTGTAGCATTGGAACATTTCTGTCTTACCAGGTATCTGGTATTTGTGAGAGCAGAAGTTTGTTTTTTTCTCCTTCCCCCTTGAAGAAGGATTATAAGTTGTTTCCCAGGAGGGATCCTTATGCAATCTCAATATTAAATTTTACTTGTCTTTATACTTTTTTTTCTTAGGACCTTGTTAATATTTCCTTAACCAGCAACTATTTTTATTATAAGTAATTTTTAAGAATTGTTTGGGATATCTATATACTGTTTGATCTTAGTCAAATGCTTTTACCTTCTTAACTGTGTTAAATTGTGTTTCCTTTTTATTTATCCTCATCTTGACTGATTGGTAAATGTTTTTCTTTTGGGAAAGTATTTTAATTGATAGAATTGATGTTGATGATTGTTTTAACTTCAGTTAAACAGATAACAAAGGTTACTGTGCCTTAAATAAAATTTTTTTCTTCATTTTACTAGGTAAAATTCTCAATGATGATACTGCTCTAAAAGAATATAAAATTGATGAGAAAAACTTTGTGGTTGTTATGGTGACAAAAGTAAGTTTAAGCCTTGTTCTTTTTATTTTCATGTATGTGAGTTTTTAAATAATGATGCCAAGTCCAGTCATTATACCTTTGAGTGAATACAGTTATGCATATTCATAGTAGTGTGCACCTATTTTTTTAACTTTACTAGAGGCTCAGTGCATGAAATTCATGCACTGGAGGGAAGGGGTCCCTTAGCCAAGCCTGCACCTTCTCCAATCTGGGACCCTTCGGACATCCCTCTCACAATCCCAGGACTGCTGGTTTCTAATTGCTCACCTGCCTGCCAGCCTGATCATCCCTTAAGCACTCCCCTGCCAGCCTGATCAATGCTGAATGGCTCCGCTGCTGGCCCAATTGCCCCCAACTTCCCTCCCCTGCAGGCTTTGTCCTCTACCCCCTCACCACCACCCCCAATTAACCTCCCCTGCCAGCCATATTTGACTACGTGGTAGCAGCCATCTTGTGCAAGGGTGTTAGGGTCAATTTGCAGATTGCCTCTGGATTATATAGGATTATTTTTTATTTCTCACCTAAGAATATTTTCCCCTATTTTAGAGAGTGAAGGGAGAGTGGGGGGTGGGGGAAAACATCATCATGAGAGAGGAACATTGATCAGTTGCCTCCTGGACATGCCCCTGCTGGGGATTGAACCCACAATCTTTTTTGTGTATGAGATAACATTCCAATCAACTAAGTCATCCAGCCAAGCCTAAATATGGGTTTTTAAGTCACAAAATAATTGATATATAGTAGGAAATAGAGTTCAAATAAAATTTGACAACTAAATACTTTTGTACTAAGTAACAGTTTATTTGGATTGGACTTGAAAATTTTTTAATCCATTAAGAACCATATTGATTTTACATTGTTCAAGTACTTATTCATTAAATGTTAAACTTTAAATACAAAGAAAGAAATCAATGAGGAAACTTTGCCTCATTTAGTGTTTAAAAAATATAAAATATACATACCCCAAAATTTTCCACTTTAACTATTTTTAAAGTGTACAATCCAGTATCATTAAGTACTTCCATATTGTGCAACCATCACCACCATCAGTTTCTAGAACTTTTTTCATCTTCTCAAGCTGAAACTGTACCCATTAAACAATAACTTTCCATCCACACCTCTACATACTTAATTTAAGTGGAATCATACAGTATTTGTTTTTTTGTGACTGACTTATTTCAGTTCATGTTATAGCTTTATCGTCCTTTTTAGGGCTGAATAATATTTCATTATCTCACCTAGTTTTATCATACATAGTCCATATGGAAAATGTGGTGGCAACACATTTGGATATGTATTTGTTATTGGTCTTATTACTGTTAGTATTTAGTAACCTTAACTATCTACACTAATAAAAGAGAAACATGCAAATTAACCATCACTCTGCTATACCCACAAGCCATCATCACCAGCCAATCAGGAGTGAGTGTGCAAATTAACCCAACCAAGATGGCGGCCAGCATCTGTTTTAATGCTGGCTCCCCCCCCAACCCCCCCCTATTACCTTAATATGAAAGCTGAAATTGTTTGGCTAAGCTAATTGAGATTGATAGTTAAGATAATGTACAATATATGCTGCCATCAGCTTTGAAAGAGTAACGGTGATTCAGAGTCTTAATGTTGTTATTATAATAGTATTGGGTTTGTAGCATCCTGTAACAATAAAATCTAATTAGAGATCAGGTAATAATGTTTTATTTTATCATCTTTCATTTTTTTGCTTTTTAATGTGTTTAGCCCAAAGCCGTAACAACACCAGCACCAACAACGACGCAGCAGTCAACTCCTACCACCACTACCACAGTTAGTTCTTCCACAGCTCCAGCTGTGGCTCAGGTTCCAACCCCCACCCCTGCCTTGGCTCCCACTCCCACTCCCACTCCTACTGCCACTCCCACTCCCACTCCTACTCCTACTCCTACTCCTACTCCTACTTCTACTCCTGCTCCTACTCCCACACCTACATCTGTCACTCCAGCATCAACGACAGCATCTTCTGAACCTGCACCTGTTAGTGTCACAAAACAGGAGAACCCTGCAGAACAGCCAGCAGAAACACCAGTGGTTATTACTAGCCCAACATCAACTGATAGGTAAGAACTGGATGCTAGAAAATTATATCTTAAAATATGTTCATAACACGGTCTTCATGCATGCGTTTATTTTTATTTTGTTCAAATTAACTTTGAACTTTGATTAAAATAAATAAATAAATAAACACACAAAAAATGGTATCAATTCTGTCTGTTTAACTTTCCATAATCCAGATTTTTGTATGCTCTGCATTGTTTTTCCAGAGGGAAAAGGAAAGAGGACTAAAGTCATTAATTTGTGTAGAAAAGTCTGGAAATAACAAATGACCAAAAAGAAGAACTATAAAATAATACTATATTATAGCATGACATATTATAAATAATTTGCATGAGTAGTAGTATGTCCAGTGTGGTCTTTGGAGCTGTTTCTATTTTGTGCCTTTAGTGCAACTCAGGACCTCAGTGGCAGTAGTTAAGAGTCCTTGGAATCAGAACCAGTCACAATGGAAACTGCAGCAATTTACTCTTATTTCCCCAAATTACGCATCTCAGAGAAGGATAATACAAGAAGGGGAAGGGTGAGAGCTCAGAAAACAAGCTGCTTAGCTGTGCTTTAATCCCTACATTTGTGCCTTAAACATGTAGTGGGCCTGTAAAGCACAAAACTTAGTGAGATGCTTCTCAGGAGGTATTCTGGTATGAATTTGAAGGGCATAAGAAATTTGTTTCATCACCACTGGCCTAACATTTTATTAATAGGGATTTGTTTCTTAGGTCAGTTTTGTTCTTCAAAAACTATCATAATGCAAATTCCACTCCTAATTGTTGATAGCTGACTTAGAGAAACTGCACTTGTGCACAAGAACTGTATTGTTGCCCTAGCCGGTTTGGCTCAGTGAATGGAGTGTTGGCCTGTGGACTGAGAGGTCCCAGGTTCGATTCAGATCAAGGGCATGTGCCTTGTTGCGGGCACATCTCCAGTGGGAGGTGTGCAGGAGGCAGCTAATCAATGTTTCTTTCTCATCGATGTTTCTAGCTCTCTGTCCCTCTCCCTTCCTCTCTGTAGAAAAATCAGTAAAATATATATATTTTTAAAAACCGTATTTTTTTAATTGAGGACAAATTTGATCACACTAAATGTTCATTAGTAAGGAGATGACTTGATTTGTGACCTGTTCATATTAGAGAGCACAGCACTACTCAAAATGCAGTGATGAGGAGATAGCATCAGCATCACTGGGAATTTAAGTTAATTAAGCTTCACCTCAGATCTCTAAATCAAAATTATCTGGGGATTGGTCCCAGAAGTTGGTATTTTACCAAGCCTGGTGAAAACTTAGGCTTACTAAAGTTTGGGAAACTCTGAAATCCAGTACCATAGGTCAGTGAAAATATGCAGTATATATTTGCATTAAAAGAATATGGTTTTAAATATAAAAAGCAGATCACAAAATAATACAGATCATAACCATAAAGCAAACATAAGCCACAAACGACTTTGTGTATTTCTATGGGTATGCATATTAATGTGTAGGAAAAAACAGTACCAAAGGAATAATACGTTGACTGACTGATAAATGGTTTTCTCTTGGAGATAGGGAGGAAAGAAGTGGTGAGGCAAAATCAAGAATGAAGAATGGTAGTTAATGATACCTCAATCTTAGCTGTAATGTTTAAAAATAAATTTTAAAACAATGTGCAGCCTGACTGTTGTTGCTCAGTGATGTTGACCTATGAACCAGGAGGTCACAGTTCGATTCCTGGTCAGCGCTCATGATCTGGTAGCAGCTTGATCCCCAGTGGTAGGTGGACTTGTGGGAGGCAGCCAATCAGTGATTTTCTCTCCTCATTGATGTTTGTATCTCTCCCTTCTCTGAAATCAATAAACATTTTTTTTAAAATAGAACAATGTGCAAAAAAATAGCACACATTATTCTTTTTTTATAAAATTGATTGTTTATTTAAATCTTCACCCAAGGACATTTTCTATTGAGTTTTAGAGAGAGGGAAGACAGAGAGAAACACATCAATTGGTTGCCTCCTGAACAAGCTTCAACCAGGGCCCGGGCCAGGGAGGCGTCTGCAACTTAGGTACGTGCCCTTGATCAGAATAGAAACCAGGACCTATTGGCCGCCAACACTCTAGCCATTGAACCAACCAGCCAGGGCAGCACACATTATTCTGTAAAAGAACAATAATGAAGGAGGCTAACCCTACGAGATAGTAAAATGTATTATGCACAGTAACGATTACAATTTAGAATGGCTCTTATTAAAAAGATTGCTCATGAAGTAGACAGTAGTCTAGAAACAGACTACCGTATTTTTCGGACCATAAGACGCACTTTTTCCCCCCCAGAAGGGGGGGGGGGAAGTCCCTGCGTCTTATGGTCCAAATATAGCCTACACATATACTTTTAAAAAAAGTTTTTTTTACTTGCCCGGCTCTGTGTGGTCTCTGTGTGCTTGCCCGGCTCTAAAATGGTTCTAAATGCTGCTGTTTACTTTACAGGGTTGATTACATGTGTTTATGGCTGTGATGTTGGGTTTTAATGCACATAAAATATTTTAGGACACTATTTGTTTCAGAATCTTTTTTTCTTCATTTCCCTTCTCTAAAAACTGGTGTGTCTTATGGTCCAGTGCGTCTTATGGTCCGAAAAATACGGTAAAATACATAGGGACTTAATATACCATAAAGATGTAACTTCAGACAACTATTGGGAAAAAAATGCCTAGTCTTCTGGAGGATGGATTACAGACCTTACATTCACAAAAAATAAATTCTAGATGGGTAAAGATTGAATATAAAGGTGAAACCATAAAATAGAAGAGAACATAGAAAAACTAAAATAATCTTAAACAAAAAGTCATAAAGGGGAGCGATTGATATATGTGACTACAGAAAGAATTTAAATGTTGGCAATCAAACTAAAAATTCCTTAATAAAAGCTTGATTTGGTCAATTAAATGGAATACTGCATCTGTTGGAAAAACCTGCCATAGTTATGGTTGTGCTGACATGGAATAACTTAAATGAAAACACACACAAAAGAGGACACAAGTGATTGTTATATAGAAACTGGTAGTGGTGGTTGTCTCTGGGCAGCGGTCTTGTGCAGAAGAATTAGTTTCTGGGTACATATTTCTTTGGGAAGTTTTGCCTTCTATACGTTAGTTTCCCTGTCTAGTTAATGGAGGTATTTTAGAAATTATACCAAAGAATTATAATAATCTTATTGGGTATTACCATACCAGACATTCTGCTAAACACTTCACTGGCAATAGCCCTACACACAACATTTTGGGATATATAGATACTATTGTTGATCTCATTGTATTGATAAACCAAGGCTTAGAAAGTTGACTTCAAACTTAAGTAGTAGTTCCCTTACTTTTGCTATGCTACATACAGAGCTGAAGTATATTGTGTTTGTTTTTAAAACTGGGACAGAGGTGTAAGTGTGTGCTGTCTTATTGTGTATGTTTTAATCTAAACTGCTAACTGCTACCTTTACCACTTTTGTAAACTTAGGTTTATTTTTCTTTGGCCTACTCTTCGTGGTCTCTTATGATCTTGTTTTTGTCTACTTTTTTTTCAGACTCCTCATCAGCAATTGCCCAACAGAAACTTAGTCCCTTTAAATTGGTTTACTTTCCGTTACAACTTGGATTTAACTCTCTTTTGCACTTTTTGGTTATGTTGTGTTTCTTTACTTAGATGCCTTCTTCTTCCAGTTTTTGTGTTCAAAACTTACCTATAAGATCTAACTAAATTCCACTCTGTAAAGACTTTCCAGGTCTTTCTAGCTTAATGTAGTTTCTATATGCGCTAGGTATCATGTACTGCTTTTAGTATTTCTACTGTGATTTGACTTATAGACTATTTAACTCCTTATGTAAATTATTTCAGGGAATAGTTGTTCATTATCTTTATTATATTCCTTAAATACTAAGCTATCTCTGAGGATGCTATTTTTAAATCTTTGGACATTTAAAATGATGGATTTGCAGAATAGAATGAGTATTAAGGTGAAAGTTCTCCGAAGTTATAGATAAAAAAAGCTTTGGGGGTTAGCCAGACTTGAGTTTAATTTAAAAAATCAAAGAATCTCTACAAATTAGATAGTTACTAAACTTTAATATAAATTTTACATTCTTATATATTTTCTAAAACCTTTTACAGTACATCAGGAGATTCTTCTCGGTCAAATCTTTTTGAAGATGCAACAAGTGCACTTGGTAAGTATCTACATTGTAAGTAACCTTATAAGAGATAGGGAAGAGGTTTGTTTAATTCTCTGAATCATGATAATGTGTATGTTATGATTGCTCATAATCAATCAAGTTGATTTTGATAATTTAGTTGATAATAATTTAATAATAATAGCTTTGTAAATTAATGTTTCATACATTGATTCCTTTTTTTTTTTTTCAAGATGGCTTGTTTTAAATTTTTCAGTTAGATTTGACATTCAATATTTTGTTATTTTCAGGTATACACATAGTCATTAGACATTTATATAACTTACAAAGTGATCCCCCCAATAAGTCTTATACCCACCCTAAGCGACCAGTCTACTGATCAGTCGACCTTTTAACCATTTGCATTGACAAAGACTGACCACCAGAGGCAGATGCTCAATACAGGAGCTTCATTTTGGTGGTCTGTGCTCTCACACAACAGGAGCGCAGTTCAGCTGACCAATGTGTGCCAGACACAGCGGGGCTGGTTGGGGGTTGGTAGGGACAGTGAGCAGGAGCAGCGTGGCCATCCAGGCTCAGCTCAGGCTCCTTCCTGGCCACCTCCTGCTTCACATACTACTACATCCCTCTGGGGATGTCTGACTGCTGGTTTTGGCCTGCTCCCTGGTGTCAGTGGACGTCATAGCAACTGGTGGAACGGTCGGACACTTAGTATATTACACTTTAATTATATAGGATGTCCCTAAGCTGTACTCACATTCCCATAACTATTTTGTAACTGTGAATTATACTACTTAATCCCTTCACCTTTTGACCCAACTCTTCAATTCCCATCCCATCTGGCAACCATCTGTTTATTCTCTCCATCTAGGAGCTTGTTTCTGTCTTGCTTGTTCTTTTATTTTGTTTTTCAGATTTCATATCTAAATGAAATCATATGGAATTTGTCTTTTTCTGTTCAACCTATTTCACTCATCACCATACAGTCTAGATCCATTCATATTGTCAGAAGAATACATTGAATCCTTTAAATTGTACTGTTAGAGTCAAGTGTACTTTTTTCCTTAAAGCACATAATTTTTATTTTCCAAATGAACTTTAAATATTATTTTAACAAAGCTTGAACTGTGTATTATAAAATGTTTTTGAAATAGGTATAAACTGTTACTAAAATCTGTCTTACAATTCATCTTTATTCACCTCTAGCCTTTATTTCAGCTTATAACCTTGTAGGTTCCCATTTATACCTTGTTGCTTAAATTGTATTTGGAGTTTATTCCAACTTCTAATTTTACATACTGAATAATATCTTTCCATCTTGTCTCCATACCTATTCTAGCAAAATTAGTTTTGTTTTCCCGTCATTTTTCCATTCTTTAAACTGCCAACTAGAAAAATTGTAATCTCCACCAACTTCTTAGTTTCCAGTTGACTCATCTTTTATTCTGTCATCTGATTCCTCTTTGTTCCCTTACTTTCTTGTATTATCATCCACCCTCTACCAAAACTTTGGCATCATCCTTGGCCCTCTGCCTTTTGGCCTAATGAGACCAGGAGTTTTCGTCCCAAAGTCTCTGCTGCCATTTATTTGCCATAGTTTATGCCCTTTCCTCACTGATATTCTTGAATTATCTGCTAATAACTGGCCTATTCTCTGTCATAGTGAACTTTCTAAAAGGTAAATCTAGTAATGTCATTGTTAGTTCATTTCACAGCTCATAGTGACCTGGAAGATAAGTCCAAAGGTTCTTCATCATTATTTTTTTTTAATTAAATATATTTGTATTGATTTTAGAGAGAGAGAAACATCAATAATGAGAGAGAATCGTTGATTGGCTGCCTCTTGCACATTCCCTACTGGGAATCGAGCCCACAACCTGTCCCTGGGCATGTGCTCAACCGCTTAGCTACCCTGACTGGGCCATCACTACTATTTTAGCTTTTGTCTTGTGTTATCCATTGTTCCTAATTTTGTTGAGTCATTAGCTTTTGTACCTTTTTTCTTTCATTGATTTCAGAGAGGAAAGGAGAGGGAGAGAAATATAAAATTAATGATGACAGAGAATCGTTGATCAGCTGCCTCCTACATGCCCCTACCAGGGATCAGGTCTGCAAACAGACATGTGCCCTTGACCAAAATCAAACCCAGAACCCTTCAATCTACAGGCCAATGCTCTATCCACTGAGCCAAACCAGCTAGGGTAGCCTTTGTACTTTTAATATCTAAAAAGTATCAAAATGCAACTTGATTAATTAGGAAGTATAATTTTAAGAGACACAGCATGCTTAGGTGTAGGGGCTCTCGAGTCTGACAGCCTGTGTTTGTGTCTCTGCACCATGACTTATCAGCTGTCCAGAATGGCATTAATTGGGTCTTTGTTCTCTTATTTTTCCCAGGCCAGGATGATTTAAACTATGTATTTTCTAATTAGGAAGGAATATATAAACCATTTGCTCTTTAGTGTCGTTGGTTAGGTAAGATAAGGTCTTGCAATTCACAGGGTGGCTGCAAGCTGCCCATACTGTTTGGCCTTGTTTAATTTTATTATCTCAGTTTCCCCATTGCAGTTGCCCTGGGATTTTCCTAGCTTCTTACTATCCTGCCACAATAGGACCTACCAGATGTGTTAATAGATTAGATGTGAAAACGGGAAAGGGAATTGAAACCATTGAGGTTTTTAATTCAAGTATTTGGATGGATAGCTGTGCTATTTATTGAAGTGGAGATCGAAGATAATAATGGGACATACTGAGGGGAAAATCTTTAGAGATCCAAAGTCATGTATTGGTATTGGTTTAGGAGTGAGTGGAATGTGAGGAACTGGACACAGTATGTGCAGACAGCTATCGCTATGAATGGGAGAGAGTAAACAAATGGACCAGTTCTTGAAAGAAGAATTGGGATATGATGAAGGGAGGCCTGTCTTTGTTTTTAGAATGACATTCAAGGACATAGTTAACTTCTGATCAGGATATTAAAGTGGAAAGGAAAAGGTGGAAGATGGACAAGAAAAATAACCAAAAGACCCAGTTCTTTGAGGAGACAAAAAAGGGAATAATGGTGCCCAGAACATGAGTAGGGAAAAAAGTGGCTTAAGTGAGGTAAAAGTGACATACTGAATGATAGTGCTTGATTCATTGTACCAGCTTTCTGTGGTACTTGAAATTCTAACTTTCTAGCTTTTAACCTCCTTCCCCTCTTCTACTTTGATAATAAAAGGTGTCAAAAGAAAACTTTTATGGCAGAGCTGATTGCTTGAAATGGTCCTCTTTTTTCAAAGTCATGTTGCTGTCCTGGGCAATCTGCTAATTCTATCCTATATTTGTGTTACATTTATACCCTATATTTTTATTGTACTTATTAAACATACTGTATTAGTTTTCTATTGCTACTTATTACTTGCAATAAGTTACCACAAACTTAGTGTATAAAATAATACAAATTTATTATTACTTATAGTTCTATTGGTTAGAAGTCTGACATGGACTAAAAATCATAGGACTAAATTACTGGGCTAAAATCGGGGCTGCATTAATTATTTTCTGGGGACTCTAAGGGAGGATTTAATCTATGTCCTTTCACCTAGAGGCAGCATAGCATTTCTTACTCTGCTTTTCTCTCCTTTTCTTTACACCTGTTTCTCTGATCCTCTTATCTGCTTCCCTCCTATTTTTAAGGACCCTTGTATTGGGCCCACTCACATAATCCAGGATAATTTCCCTATTTAGCTGATGAGCAACCTTACTTCCCATTTGCCAGGTCATCTAACATATTTATAGGTTACAGGCATTGGCATGGGTGGAGAGGCATTATTCACCTAGCACATTGTAGTTCCTACTGTTATTCATCTTTGTATTCCCAGCACTTCAGTGCCTAAAACATTGTATATATTCATGAAATATGGAGAGTGTTTGGCATTAAGTGTTCTCTTTCTTTTCCCTCCTCCCTCCTTGCTCTCAACTTTTTGTAGTGACAGGTCAGTCTTACGAGAATATGGTAACTGAGATCATGTCAATGGGCTATGAACGAGAGCAAGTAATTGCAGCCCTGAGAGCCAGTTTCAACAACCCTGATCGAGCGGTGGAGTATCTTTTAATGGTAAGAGACATTGATTTGTCATTCCATTTATATATGTATTCATTGATTGCTCCTTATATGTGCCCTGACTGGGGATTGAACCTGCAACCTTGGGATATCAGGTGCTCTAACCCAGTGGTCGCCAACCTTTTGGACCTCTCAGACCACCAGTGGACCACGGGTTGGCAACCACTGCAGTCTAACCAAGTAGCTAGTCTAACCTAACCTAGCTAGGGCTTGAGCCTTTACTTTTAATTGAAGCTTTTGGAAATTAGACAAGGATATTAAATATGTTAGTTAAGTCTTTTACTCTGTATAATATTGGATATTTTTAATGATGGGATATTTTAAAGCTTGGAAATTGTATTATAGGGAATTCCTGGAGACAGAGAAACTCAAGCTGTGGTTGATCCCCCTCCAGTAGCTACTACTGGGCCTCCTCAGTCTTCAGTGGCTGCAGCTGCAGCAACTACAACAGCAACAACTACAACAACAAGTTCTGGAGGTAAAGTGTAAGCTTTTGGATGGGGAGGAAATGGTCCTGAATTTGTACTGTAAAATAATTTAATCTGAAGTATTTTGAGGTGAGGTTTATTCCCACAGCATTTGGATAAATCCTAAGATATTCTTGCTTGTATACCACATCATTGCTGTTGTTTTGACAGAGAGCATATTCTAAGGAAGAGATACTTCCCAGTTTTCCTTGTTACATTCTGAAGCCACTTTGAATGGTTTACTCACCTTGTCTCTTTCTCTCATTATAAATGTCATTGAGTATGTATAATTCCAAAACCAGTAGTATCTTAGTGGTTATTATACAACCAAGGAATTAAAACCTCAAAAGGTTTAAAATCTGTGTCTAGAGGTGAAAGAAAACTTGAATTCAAGTGTGTACTGGCCAATACCCACATTTCCATTGCCAAAAGTTTGACTACAAAGCAAAGTCTGGAGCCTGTGGTAGGCCCAGGAATTAATGTTCTCCTGCATTCTTCTGTGTTTTGAGAAAGGATTCAAACAATTAATTTTGAAGAGGTCATTCATTAATGCATATTCTTGCTCTAATTACAGCAGTCAGTTCTGATTGATAAAAATTTCTAAGCACTTTGTGTATAGTCTCCCAGAGGACAGGAGAGACTTGTCATTTCTGGAGAATTAGCATGGGAATGGAAAGAGGAGGCACGGCTTTGATTCAGATTGAGGATGCTGCCCCATTCACTAGCACTTATTAAATAACTTTGTTTCTGAGTCTCATTTTCTTCACCTATAAAACTGGCCTTACATGAGGAAGAATAAATATCTGTGTCATGTGACCACTTTAATTTCAATGATTGTCTTAAAATAAAATTTAAGAAAAAACATATAAAATATTCTCATTATTCATTAGTAACCTCCAAACAATTCTTTTGTATGTAATTTTTAAATTTTGTATAACATAACCAAATACAAAACCCCCCCCCCCCAAACACACATACACACAAGTCACAAGTTCTAGATCTTATATCTTATTTGGCATTATTAATATTATTATAAAGGGTTCTTGGATGAAAGAGTTCTAAATATTATTACTAGATTGTCTTGTGGCTTATCTCAAGATTTTATAGATTATAAGTATTTAAAATTTGATGGCAATAAAATAATTTTCCAACAGTAATTCAGTTGTGTTAAAAAACTCCCATTTGGTTTGTATACCTAAACTCTTAACTTGTAATTATTAAATACAGGGGTTGGCAAAAATGGGTTTACAGTGTGAGTATATGAAATCTAGTTTATTTTTTTAAAAAATATATTTTTATTGACTTCAGAGAGGAAGGAAGAGGGGGAGAGAGGTAGAAACATCAGTGATGATAGATGATCATTAATCGGCTGCCTCCTGCATACCCTCCACTGGGGATTGAGCCAACAACCTGAGCATGTGCCCATGACCGGAATCGAACCTTGGACCGGATCCTTCAGCCTTCAGGCTGATTCTCTATATACCGGGCCACAGTTTATTCTTTTATTGTTAATTTGTATTTTTCCATATAAACCTACTTTTGTTCACCCCTGTTACAAATTTTTCAGGAATTCAAGTTCAGATTGTTTTGGGGTTTTTGTTTGTTTTTTCTTAGTCCTGCTATATATTTTTATTAATAATTTTTGAGCAGCAGGAACAACTTTTAGTGCTTTTTATTTTTGATAGGGAACATGCAAAGCACAAGACCTCGGTATTTGTTACTTTCAGTATCTCTGTCTAAATTATGATTGAACCAATTCTTTGTATGCGTAATTAATACTTTTCTTTAACAATGTTTTATGTATATTTTAGGACATCCCCTTGAATTTTTACGGAATCAGCCTCAGTTTCAACAGATGAGACAGATTATTCAACAGAATCCTTCCCTGCTTCCAGCATTGCTACAACAGATAGGTCGAGAAAATCCTCAATTACTGCAGGTGACTATTTAACCATAGTTAATTTCTGAAGTGAGTTTAGAGTGCATCATATTTTAAGACCCCTTTCCCCTCCACCAACTCTAAACCATTCTAAGCTACTTTCAGTAGGATATGCTACATAGATAGATGTACTAGAAAAAGAGTTGGGGATGGAGGTTGGATTAATTTTAGTTGCTCATATTATAAATTTGGGAATCATCTTATTAAAGAATCTGAGAAACTCTTCAGCAAAGAAACTTTTAACTTGTCTTTTTTCCCAAACTTATTATTAGTAGAGCTTCGCCCCTTAGGAAACATACTTGCGGGCTTAATTAATGCTTAGGTCACAAAGTATTTTGAGTTTGGTACATCATTGTACTGCCTGCTAGTGTGGAAGACATATGTAAGTTCTCTTTCCTCTTACAGTCATCAAGTGGTATTTTAGTATTGCTTTTATTTTTTGACAAGTGTACATTTATGAAAAAGAATTTGAATTCTCTTAATTCTTCAGTGTTTATCTCACTCAAAAGTACCGAGCTTCTTTAATAATGTGCAAAGAATCATCCCCATAAAAACTTAATAATCTGGAATCAATCTAAAATATTATATTTGCAAAAGTTATAGTTTCTCATTTGTACTTCGAATTCTTTTTCCCTGAAGATACTTTATATCAATGTATTTTTTTCTGTCCTTCAAATCACAGCAAATTAGCCAACACCAGGAGCATTTTATTCAAATGTTAAATGAACCAGTTCAAGAAGCTGGTGGTCAAGGAGGAGGAGGAGGGAGTGGAGGAGGCAGTGGAGGAATTGCAGAAGCTGGAAGTGGTCACATGAACTACATTCAAGTAACGCCTCAGGAAAAAGAAGCTATAGAAAGGGTGAGTTTAAGTAAAACTAACATTTCAGTTCTTCAGACACAACAGTCACCTTTCCAATGCTCAGTGTTCACAGGGGGCTAGTGGCCACTGCATTGAATAGCACTGATCCATTTCCATCACAGGTGGAGTTCTTTTAGAGCGGAATAGAGCGTTGTTGCCCCTGGGGATTGCTGGAAAGACAGACTTCTCAGGCCTGCTCTCCCATCTTGTTCTTTGTGAAGCCCAGGGACCAGCAATGAATACTATTCTAGCATGAAATAGTTGTAAATATATTACAAAACTAAAAATGTCATTGATGTTCTAAAATTCAGGCAGAAAATGATCTTTAGGAATGTGCCCAATTTAAGATGATCCATTTTCAGATTTATATTTCAGATTTTTAAATTTTACTACTGTCACTAAAATCTAAAGTGTGTATAACATACAGTAAATATCAGACCCTGCTATCCTGAATCTCTTCTCATCTTACCAGGGTGACAGTGTAGGTCATGGCACTATAATAACCTGGTTTTTGTGATACTATGACTAGTCATTTATTCTCTGGACCCATTGTTAACATTTATAAATAAGGAATCACAGTACTTGCCTGTTTCACAAAGTGTTCTGAGATGAAAATTCAGTGTAGTGCAATTTAACTTAGAAAATCATCTGGACAATAATTTGTCCTTGTTTATGATATAAACATATCAAATCAAGTGTTTAAGGTTTATAATTAAGTATTTCTTAATATAATAGATACTTTATATATCAGGCTGATATTTTCCCCTTTGAGTAAATGACACTTTCTTCAATTGTTCTATAGCAACCTTTTTTTTTAGGTTAGTTAGTGTTATCAGTTCTTGATTTCTGTGTTGGAGAAGTTTTCTCTTATTGCTTGCTTTTAATTCATACTAGAGAGCCTGGTGCATGAAATTTGTGCATGGGGTGGAGGGGATCGCCTCAGCCCAACCTGCACCCTCCAATCAGGGACCCCTTGGGAGATGTCCTGCCCTAAACCAGCAGTCTGACATCCCTCTCTCAATCCTGGACCGCTGGCTCCTAATTGCTCACCTGCCTGCCTTCCTGATCACCCCTAACTACCCCTCCCCCCCACTGCCAGCCTGGTTGCCCCTAACTGCCCTCCCCCACCCCTGCCGGCCTGACCACCTCTCACACATACACCCTTCTGCCAGCCTCATTGTCCCTCACTGCCCACCTCCCCTACCAGCCTGGTCATCTCACACAGTCTGCTGTTGAATTGTTTGGTCATCCCTCACCAACCCCTCTGCCAGCCTGGTTGCCCAAGAGGGCCTGCTTGTTCAGTTGTTTAGTTGTCCCTCACTAACCCCCTTGCCAGCCATCTTGTGAGGGCATGAGGGTCAATTTGCATATTGCCTCTTCATTATATAGGATTTTCTATAATATCTTTCAGAAATACTCTATAGTCTTCAGTTTGTATTTTTTGTGTTAAATTTATTCCTAAGTATTTTTATTGTTTGTGATGCTATTATAAGTGAAATTATTTTATTATTATTATTATTAAATTATTATCTGTGTACATATTTTAACATTGCCCCCCCCATACATACCCTCCCTCCCCAGAGTTTTGTGTCCATTGGTTGTACTTATATGCATGTATACAAGTCCTTCTGTTGATCTCTTATCTCCCCCAGATCTCCCTACTCTCCCTGCTGTAATTTTACAGTCTGCTTATTGCTTTACTGTCTTTATATCTGACTTTTGGTTTGTCAGTTTATAATTTTCTTTAATATCCATAAATGAGTGAGGCCATGTGGTATTTCTCTTTCATTGACTGGCTTATTTCACTCAGCATGATGTTCTCTAGTTCTATCCACGTTGCTGCAAATGATGAGAATTCCTTCTTTTTTATGGCAGCATAGTATTCCATTGTGTAGATGTACCATAGTTTTTTGATCCAATCATCTGCTGATGGGCACCTAGGCTGTTTCCAGATTCTAGCTATTGTAGATTGTGCTTGAAATTATTTTCTTAATTTCATTTTTAAATTGTTCAGTTCTAGTTATATAAAAATATAATTTATTTGATTTTATATCTTCCAACCTTCCTGAACCTCAAGTATTGATTTTGATCATTTGGATGTGTTCCTTAGGTATCTATGTGAAAGATACCATTTGCAAGTAGGCATGGTTTTACTTCTTTTCTAATATGGGTGCATTATTTATTTGTTTGTTTTGTGTGACTAATTGCTATATCTAGAGCCTCCTCTGTATTGTTGAAGAGAAGTGACGAGAGCTAACATTGCTTGTCTTAATCTGCATTTTCAAAGAAAATATTTCAGTCTTTCATTATTTAGGTTGTTAGCTATGGGTTTTATTAAATTCCTTTTATTGGGTTGAGGAAGTTTCCTTCTACTTCTAGTTGTGTATTTTTATCACAAAATGGTGTTGGATTCTGTCAAATGCTTTTTGTGTGTTTATTAAGATCAACATGTAATTTTGTTCCTTTTCCTATTAATATCTTTTAGTATGTTGGTTGATTTTTGTATGTTGGAACAACCTTGTATTTCTGGGGTAAACTCCAGTACTCAGTTATGGTGTACAATCCTTTTTTATAAAAGTTACTGGATTTGGTCTGCTAGTAGTACTTGGTTGAGGATTTCTGAATCCACATACAAAATATAGGTCTGTTGTTTTCTTGTGGTGTTTATGTCTGGTTTTGGTATAAGTGTAATAATACTTGTCATATAGAATGAGTTTGGGAAATGTTCCCTTATCATCTCTGTTGAAGAATTTGTGAAAAATCGATGTTAATTTTTCTCTAAATGGTTGCTAGAATTCACTAGTAAAGTAATTTGGGCCCAACTTGTCTGTTCAGATTTCTTGATTCTTCTTGAGCCAATTTTGGTGGTTGTGTTTTTGTTGTTGTTTTTGGGTGTTTTTTTTTATGTGTCTGTCTTTCTAGAAATTGTCTATTTAATCTTTTATCTAATTCGTTTATAATATTTCCTTAATAGTTTTTATTTCTATAAAAATATAAATGTTTTCACATTCTTGATTTTAGTAATTTTAATCCTCAGCTCTCCCTCCCCCCTTCTTCTTCTTTTTGTCGGTATTATTGATCTAAAGAAAAAACACTAACTTTTGGATTTACTAAGTCTCTTGTTGTAAGTTTCCATTTTATTTATTTTCTCAGTGACTTTATTATTTCTGTCCTCTGCTTGCTTTGAAATTAATGTTTCCCTTTTATAAATTTTGTTATTGATTTCAGAGAGAGGAAGGAGAGTTAAACATATTTTCCAGTTTCCTTTGTGATTTCTTCTTTAATCCATTGGTTATTTTAGACTTTTAATTTCTACATGTTTATGAATTTTTCAAATTTCCTTCCATTATTGATTTTTAAGTTTATTCCATTGTGGTCAGAGAGCACATTTTGTATGATTTTAATCCTTTTAAATTCATTGAAGTTTCTTTTATGACCTAACATGGTCTTTATGGAGAATATTCATGTGTACTTGAAAGGGATGTGTTAAATGTTTTGTAAATATCCATTAAGTCTTATTGGTATATTGTGTTGGTAAGTCCTTTATTAGCTTTTCAATCCTCTTTCTAGTTGATGCATCCATTATTGAATGTAGGGATAGTGAAGTCTCCAACTATTGTTGAATTGTCTTTCGCCCTTCAATTCTGTCAGTTTTTGTTTCATGAATTTTGGAATTTTCAAAATTGATACATTTTCTTTCTTTTCTTACAGTTAAAGGCATTGGGATTTCCTGAAGGACTTGTGATACAAGCATACTTTGCTTGTGAGAAGAATGAGAACTTGGCTGCCAATTTTCTTCTACAGCAAAACTTTGATGAAGATTGAAAGGGACTTTTTTTTTTTTTTTTTTTTTTTTTTAATCTCACACTTCACACCAGTGCATTACACTAACTTTGTTCACTGGATTGTCTGGGATGACTTGGGCTCATATCCACAATACCTGTATAAGGTAGTAGATTATTGGGGGTGGGAGGGAGGGATCTAGGATAAATACAGTGCATGTCTGCTTCAATTAGCAGATGCTGCAGATCCACACAGTGTGTAAAATAGACAACCAAAAAAGCAGCTTTTGCAGGTCTCTATCTTGTATAAAACAGTAGGTAACTTCCTAGGTTTCACTCTTTTAGTGTACTAGATCCAGAAATTTAGTGTAATGCCCTGCTTTATATTTCTTTGACTTAACATTGGTTTCAGAAAGAATATTTGCTACCTAGAATCTACAGTCTCTATTTTATGGCAACACTGGATAATGGCTTTATGAAATTGAAACAAATTTGGAACAACTGCAAAGAAATGCCAAATAATTGATGGTTATTGTTGCTGCTTCAAATAAGTATAAAATTAATGTCAAGAAAGCCCATTTTTTCATGTTAAATACTTGGGTTGGGTGGAAAAGAAGGGGAACTTTTTCTTAAAGTGAAAATACTGCTATTTTAAAATCTCTTGATCGTTGAATGTGAGACCCTTCTGATATGATTTGAGAAGCTGTACAAGTATAGGCAGATTTACTTTCCTGTTTACATTTTTTTGGTTTGTTTGGGGGAAAATTGGTAGGTGTCTAATTACTGTTTACTTCCTTGTTATATTGCAGTAAAAGTTTTAAAACCACCATTGCATGTTTGCTTTTGATGTATCCCTTTATGGAATTAGCACTTTGGGCCCAATGGAGAAATGCAGCGCTCACTCTCCCTCGTCCCTTGCCTCAGCAGAACCATGCTTGTCACCAAGTTGTGAATTCAAACTGCTACCTTTCTTAAACCCAACAAGGCTGATTCAGTTCAAAATTAATGCAAATGTTTCAAATCTGGGTTTCTGATATTTGTAAGTGTTTTCTCTTATTGGATAAGAATGTATGGCCATTAAATTGCTTTCAAAAAGAGAAGGTGGACAGAACTATAATCCAGCATCTTTTATTTGAAAGACTAAGGAAATCTTTTGGATGGGTTGGGAGATGAGTCTGGGAAAGTACTTCGGAAAATATACAATCAAGACATCTCATAGCATATTAAAAGAAAACTCTTAATAGCAGTGTTGGCTTTTATCTGAATTTTTTCATCTCAGGTTTTTTGGTTGGTTTTTTTTTGTTTTTTTTTTTTTTAATCTTCTTCATTGGCATTGTTATTTGATCATAAAGAGGGGGCAGATGTCTACTTGTTTTCAGTTTTCCAAATCTTTTCCTGACTATAATCAAGACTTTGAAGAAATTTTTTCTCCCCGCCATCTGATACTGAATTAAGAAGATGAATTTGCACAGATTTCTCCCTGCGTAATCTCTTGCAATAATCCTTAGCATCGTTTGGTGATGACTTTTAAGCTTTTACATCATGCACTCATAACCTGTCTCATTTGAAAATAAATGAAATCGTGGTTTCTCCCCACAATGTTAATCATGTGACTTAATCTTCATGTGTTTATTCCATAAACTCAACAGGCCTTTGGACTTTGTATTACATGTATGTTTTATAACGAATCATGCAAAATATCTCAGGAGAATAAAATGAGAATTTGTAAATATGTTCCCTCTTTCAAGACAGGAGTTGGGAAGAGGGATGGTATTTCTGGTTGGATTATGGAATATTTTATTTTATGACATTTTTTCTGCTACCTGATTGCTCACAGAAAAGGGATAAAAAAAATAAAAAACAACAGCAGCCTCTTCCTTACTCTGGGAAGTGACAGCAGAAGTTGGTGGCATGGCGCTTTTGTCCTTGGACAGCAAAACTACATAAGTGGGATTAATGATTACCGGAGGACAGTTCAGGCCAAGTTTTGACCATTCCTTGTTTATCTGCTTAAAGAACCAGACAAGACTTTATGAAAGAAATAGGCTTTTAGAGACCTTTTGTTGTCTTTTAATTTGCAAACAGTTTTGGTAATTCTCTTAATGTAAGTGACTTATTTGACTTTGGAATTTTGCATTTGAGGTATGTCATCTTCCTTGAAATGTTTTATTGTTTAGTTGCTCTGTGGAAAATGTGAGGAAGCTTAAGTTTATATTTGTTAAAATCTTACTGCCATCCCCAAGTCAAACATGTCTTTACATTGTTTAAAAAATACTGAAGTGTTCCATCAAATAATTTTTTTTCCTGTACGAGAAGGCTAGGATTCTAGACAATTATAAAATATTTTCAATACATCCAACATTGCATTTCTCATTTTTTAAGTGATTTTGCCATAAAATCTAAGACTGAAAGTTGCCAATGCCTCTCTCACCGATCCTGTTTTCCTCAGTGAATAGTGAAGGCAGCATGTAGAAGGCCAGGCACTAGCTCGGTTTTATTGGGTCTCCTATTTGTTTTTTCAACTAAATCAATATAGAAATGGAGTGTCAGTCAAGTTTCATGAGGACTTTGAGAGATTTCGGTATCCCCATTCTTCATGCTGTAGAGCAGCCAGCCCAAGACTGCTACCAAATATTCAACCAAATGCCAGCAGTTTCAACAGGGAGTAAGGGCTTCCTGACCAAGTCGGTACTTTGGTGAGTTCCCCACCACCAGGATCAGTTGTCTCTTCAGTTGACCTCCCCTGTCCATTTTGTTTCACTTTGTTCTAAGCCAGGGGCTGGCTCGCTGCCTGTTGCATGTTCTGTAAGCTAAGAATGATCTGTCCTTACATTTTCAATTGGCTTAAAGGTTTTTTTGGTATAAAAATTACTCATTTCAGTGTCCATAAATAGTTGGGTTGAAACACAACCGTGCTCATTTGTATATATTATCTATAGCTACTTTTGTGCTACAGAGGTATGATGTTGAATGATTGGCAACAGAGGCTAAGGCCTACAGAGCCTAAATAATTATTGCCTAGTTCCTTACAGGAAAAGCTTGCCATCCCTGTTCTAAACTGCAACTAGCCCATCATGTGTTAAATTATGCCATGCTTTTTAATCCTTTTTGGTATTCTTGGCCTCTTGACTTCCGGTCTTAGCTTCAGTTTGATTTGTTAGTTACTATCATAGGCTCTTTCCAGAGGAGTGGTACCACCCCCACATCTGCACTGACAAAGGAAGGAACATTGTGTGCCTGGTGTGCTGGCCTAGCATGTATGTGGTGTCTTGAAATTATTTGCTGTTACCACACTGTTTCTTGCTCTTGCCTGAAGATAATGAAATTCAGACTGTCGAAAGCACCTGGCAGAGTGATGAACCAGTCAGAACACACATCAAAGCCAGATGAATCTTTGGGCCTTGGATCAGAGTTGGGGCAGTTGAACCGCTGGAAAAAGAGTGGGTGGAGCACTAGAGGGATAAGTGTAGCAGTTGGACCTGTTTGGGTGGTAGCCTATTTGCCAAAACAGTGTGTAGGTATTGGGAAGGGCAGTGGTGAGTAGGCAAAAGGGAAGGCTTGGACTTGCTAGGAAAAAGATCCAGCACTCAATAATGATTTGGGAACCACAGGGTCAGCAATGGTGATAATAGGTTGTGAACGGCCCTCCCTGTCACGAGGTTAGATTTGGGAAATTATGGTCCTCGAGTGGGGCTTTCACTGTGGCAGAGGACACGGGGGCATCAAAGAAATAAGTGATGATGAACTTGCTTATGTGTCCTGCTGCATATTCCAAAATGAATGGTAACATGGTCTCTGCTAGGGAGCTTGAAAATACCATTGAATACTAACGGATCCTTTAAGAGAAACTGTAACCTGTCTTACTGGTACAAATTAGAAAAATAGTCTCCTAGACTCCAGCCTTGTGTCTCACACAGTTTTCTCTTCTTGTTGACCTATGTCCTTGTCATCTACTTTTTCCATCTGACTTGGGATGAATGGGATAACAGTCCTCTCCAGTTCATGAGATGGTCTTCAGGGCACCTGAGGAACCTAGCCTCAACCCTAGCCCCAACCAGCATTATATTCCACCCCCCCACCCCCGGGTTTTGTACAAGTGCTATGTTGGCTGTGATTAGAATGTTGGGAAGCTACACATATACTAACTCTCTAGATAGGCCTCCTGCCTCTTGGTGCATGCATCTAAAATAGCCACTTTAAGGCACAAAGGATGTTTGGTATGGATCCTGGGTTTGGGTTTTTGACAATTTCCCTATTACAAAGTCCACAATGATTTCAAAATTTACTTAAAATTTGGCTATAAATTATAGGAGCAAGTCTGGGTTTTATTTGTCTGCAATAGCAGATTAGAAGAACACTAGTATATTAATTCAAAATTAATAGGTTAAAAATTGCATGAGAATGTGTGGGGCTGATGACACAATGCCTTAGAACAGCTTGGGGTTAGGGTTCTTGCTTTTGAATGATTTTGTGAACCCTGGAGTGGTTTTTGCAACTTCCTTGAATTTTTTTAGTGTACTTGATTTTTTGTTTGTTTTGGTTGTTTTCACATTTCTTTTTGGTCAGGCCTGCTCCTGCTTGTTGATAGCATTTTGACTAATCCTTATATCTCCAGTTCTCAGCAAATTATCTAAAGGAAAGTTAAATATTTTAACAAATTTATTACTGCTTTAATTGTAAAATATATCTTTAACTTTGGTGTTATAATTTTTATAACATTTTTGCAAAGAGCATTTAACAACTTTTTCATTCTTAATGTCAAGCTTACAGAAACATAGCAGGAACAGCACAAAGAGCTCCCATTGACCATCACCCCTGCCCCAAGCCCAATTAAATTTTGCAGTTGACCCAGTAATGCCCTTAATAGGAGAAGGATCCAATATCACGCTGCATTTAATTAGTCTCCTTCCACCCATACTCTTCCTCTGTCCCTCCGTGTGACGACCATAATGCTTTTCTAAGATTACAGGACAGTTGTTTTATGGGATGCCCCTCAGTTTGCTGGGCGTTTCCTCGTGCCAAGTTAGCCGTAAAGTGCTGCTGTGCTTCCACTGCATCCCGATGGGGGACAACGCTCACTTTGATTGTTGAAGGGGGCAGTATCTGCCGAGCTTCACTCGACAGTCACTCTCTGTCCCTTTGTATGTAATACTACTTTATGGGAGATGTTTTTACACTGTAAATCTTCTCATCGAAATGGTGCCCATCAGTTTTACTGTCCACTAATATTTCTTACCTGAGTTCTGGTGAAGATGGTTGCCAAGTGGTAATTTTCAGATTACGTAATTTCCACTTCTACATTTATTAGCGCATGTTCTGCATTCTGACATCCCCTTGCCCAATTACAATTTGCTTCTCTATGGATTCAGATTCCTCTTTTATTCAATCTTGCATAATCCAATAGGACCATTATTTTGATGCTCCAATTGTTCCAGGTTTTGCCAACGTGTGCATTCTTAAAGCCAGTTCTGTGTTTAGCGTGTTCTGCCAGTTTCCACCCTCCCTGAGTACTTCCTTACTTCCTGGCACAATAATATATAGGCTCTTGTACTTTCTGTGCCCCATCTCTGGAAGTCACCATTTCTTCAAGGAGCTCTTGGTTCCTTTTATGGAGATTGTGTTTGGAAACCAAACTTTGTGCTACTTGTGCTCATGGCTGCTGGTGTCTCACTGCTCCCAAGCCATCTGTCTAGGCTCATAGAATCTAATGCACACACATTTACATCTGTATTTATGTATCTACAGTTGAAAACAAGTTCACATGGGCACTTTAAATTTTGATCCAACACCAGCATGCCTGCTTGCTGCCCCTTACCATGCTCCCAGCCC